CGGGGGCTCCGGGTCAGCCCCAGGGCGGCACGGGCGGGTTCTGAGCAGCTCAGCGGAGAGACCGGGCTGGGTGGGCATTATGGGGGCGGCAGTGGGGGCCCTTATAAAGGAGGCCCTCTTTCTGCCTGTGGATGAATGGGGAAGCGGGTTAGGAGTTTGCCCTTTTCGGTCACACTCACTGGTCTGACAGACAATCTGATTTTGTGTAAGTTATGCAGCAATAGGTGGACTTCAAGTCTGGTAAAGCAGAGTGTTTTTTTATATACATATATTTTATTGTTGATAAGGTGAAGCGGAGTTGTGAAGAGCCACGTTCATTAAGGCATACTTACTGCTGGCAGTGCAAAAACGACAGTTTTACAAACCTGCCCTTCGTTGGAAGGGGCCTGTAGCCTTCGTACATGGATGGGCTGCAGAGTGTAGGAACCCCTGAAATGGACTGGGAAATCGCGTGTGCATGCCCCTAAGTGCATTTTCTGGAGAGAGAGTTTATAGCTTCATTATATCCTCAAGACCCCCACGACCCAAAACGGTTAAGAGCCACTGCTGTGGGTTCAGTAAGGACACAACTACCTGCCCACCAGTGTCTGTCTTCCCAGGGGCCTTGCACTAGAGTTCTTATTTACATCGACAAGCTTACTTCAGACACATTTAGAAATCAGTCTCAAACGTACTTGTCCTAAAGCGAGGTTACTGTTACATAGTTGGCCAGTCACAGTTCAAAAGTCAGCCCCCCGGCTCTGGCTGGGTAGCTCAGTAGATTTGAGCATCATCCCCATATACCAAAGCCGAGGTTCGATCTGGGTCTGGGCAAATACAAGAAACAACCAATGAATGCATAAATAAGTGGAACAGCAAATCAATGTTTCTCTCTCTCTCTTTCTCTCTCAAATCAACAATAATAAAAAACCCATCCACCCCAAGGTTTTCCAACGAGTTACCAGCATATAGGGAATCAAGGGAGGTGGGTGGAGGAAGGGGAGTAGAGAGAATAATGACATTCTATTTACAGTATGTATTGGGTACCTCCTAGGTTCTGGTGTGGGAAAATAAAATACCAAGATGACTAAAGACCTTGCTTTTAAGATGTTTCAGTGGAACACGGTGGAAAGAACATGGGATGCAGATTAGACATTGGTTCAAATTCTGGTCCCTCTCCATTAGGTGTAGAAGAGTGATTTAACTCTCTGATCCCCTCTATTCCTATCTGCAAAGAAGAAAGGGGAGGGGTGGGAGAGGCCTAAAAATACCTCTTGTAGGGTTGTGAGGAATAGATTTTATGAATGTAAAGTGCCAGCATATCAGGAGCTGAATAAAGGGTAGATGTTCTTGCAGTGGAAGAGCCAAGCGGTGGAGGAAAAAGTTGAGATAGGATGTGAGGTGCTGGACATGAACCCCCGTGGGAATGAGCAGGCCTCAGCCTTCCACAGGGAGGGCTACTGGGAGAACCTGTTGGTGGTATTAAACCTTCAACCTACAGCTTTGAAATTCTATACCTGAGGCTGGGGTGACTGGAGAAACCAAGCCTCACGGGAGATTTTTGTTTTCTTTTTCTATAAAGCAAATTGTGTGACCCTTCAGTCCTCAGGCTGATGCTCTGACCCCTGAGCAACTGGCCAGGGCGGCTGTCTGGTTTTTGAGGCTACTCGTCTATTGTATCAAAACCTTTAATTGTTGGAAAAATCCTTTCTCATACTGAGTTGAAATTTGCCCCATCTAACTTCTACCCCTTGGTCCTTGAGCTATCCTCTTAAGAAATAGCAACTGAATCTATTCCCACACGGTACCCCTTTAAATACTTGAAGCTACTGTGGTCCCAGTTATGCCTTTTTTCTCCTTTCCAAGTCCACAAATCCTTTCTTGCGTCTCAATGAACATAGTCCTGTGCTGTGCTAATCGCCTTCCCTCACGGAGGAGCGTCAGCTGGCAGGTCCCGTGGAGAGTGGCACTCAGCCTGGGACCCCGAGCTTCAGTGTGGTCTGACCCGATCGATAGGCAGCAGTGGGGCTACTTACTGCCTTTCTCTGAATCTGGATGCTATGCTGCTGTTTGCTTCTATGGATATGCCCCAAAATTCCCTCAGTCTTTGATCATTTAACGAAAATGGCCTTTAAAAACATATTTGAGATTATCTAAGATGTTTGGTAGTACCCATCTTGGTATTTGTATCAGTGCTTCATTTCATTGAAGACTTGCTTTTATGTTAATTTAAGCCTGTCTTAAAAAAAAAAACAACCCACCCAATTTTAATATAGTATAACTTCATTAAGATTTGTGAACTGCTTTTTGATAATATCTTATACTGCTGTTTGGATAATTTAATTGGCTGTATATTCCAATTAGCATACATAATCAAATCAATATCTTTTTAGATCCATATGTCAAACTTCTACTTGATGCCATGAAACGCTCTGGTTGGTAAGTAAATCTTTTTGAAGTGCTGCTCTATGTTCTGCCTGCTGAAAACAAAAATCCCAAACACTGGAACCACTTATATTTCACTTTAGGCCACAGAGCCTCTTCTTTCTTTCTTCTTCTTTTTTTAAAATATACTTTTATTGATTTCAGAGAGGAAGGGAGAGGGAGAGAGAGAGAGAAACATCAATGATGAGAGAGAATCATGGATTGGCTGCCTCCTGCACGCCCCCTACTGGGGGTTGAGCCTACAACCCTGGGCATGTGCCCTTGACTGGAATCGAACCCAGGACCCTTCAGTCCGCAGTCGGACGCTCTATCCACTGAGCCAGTGATGGCGAACCTATGACACGCGTGTCAGAGGTGACACACAAACTCATTTTTTTGGTTGATTTTTCTTTGTTAAATGGCATTTAAATATATAAAATAAATATCAAAAATATAAGTCTTTGTTTTACTATGGTTGCAAATATCAAAAAATTTCTATATGTGACACGGCACCAGAGTTAAGTTAGGGTTTTCCAAAATGCTGACAACACGCCGAGCTCAAAAGGTTCGCCATCACTGCTGACTGAGCCAAACCGGCTAGAGCCACAAAGCCTTTTCCATACGGTAGATGGTAGTGATTGGCTGCATTCTCTCCAGACAAGCCTTATGCTTTTCACATACCTGCTTTAACTTTACATCTCTGGCTCTACCGTTCACCTCGGTTATTTATTAATCACAATACTTAAAACCTTTCTTGTAAGTAATTACTAAATCTGGCTTTTCCACTATGCCAGCCTCAGCATTCTCCTAAATGGAGAACAGATCTCAGCTGGTTATGTTGGAACCGTCCAGGTGTTGTTTAACTTTGAGGGTATTAAAGGAAGTGACTTTTGATCCACTTCTTACCATTTTGGTCCAAGGTCCATTTCTTAACCATTCTGGCCCAAGGACAGGAACCCCATCATATTTCCAATATGGTCTTAATTAGTTGACCAAATGCTCTGTGGAATCATAACGTTCATAGGATTTGAACTAGGATAGATGTCAGAGATAATATCCTTATTTTACAGATGAAAAAGCTGAGTCCTGAGGGTGTTAAGTTGCTTTCCCGGTGCTTCCTATGTGTCAGTGGGAGGGGATTTGATGTGGGCGTCCTGGCCCAGGGCAGTTCCCTGTGCCACGTGCACACGGCTTCTGGACATCGTCTCCCATTCCTTCTTGCCTTTTAGTGCCGTTAACAGAGAAAGACACTTTTCTTGTGAAGACTGTAATGGGAATGTCAGTGGAGGCTTTGATGCGTCAGTGTCTCAGGTAGGCATTTTTGACAACTTGTTTTCTTTCCTCCCAATTCTCCTGAGGACCTTCCCATGCTGGGGATCGTTCGGTAGACTGTGTGTGGGATTCAAAAAAGTGAAATAGTCATGGTCCTTACTCTTAAGGAGCTCACCTCTTCACAGGGCAGATAAGACATGAACACAGGCAAGGACACAAAGGGAGGCAGGTTAGACTATCTTAGGTGGGCATGGTTGCCACAATGTGGCAGTGACATGATTGACTGAAAGATGCCCACTGATGCAGCTAGAGGTTATAGAGCCTCTTCAGGGCAAAGAAGACAAAGACTGTTGCCCACACAGGGGAAGCATGAGCCAAGGTGGCGTGTTGGGAAAGAACCAGGTGTATTTGTGGAATGGCATGTCGTCTGGTTTGCTGGAGGGCAGGAATACATGGGAATTAGGGGAGATAGGATTGGAATGAAGGAAAGCCATATGGTGGGAGGCTTTGAATGCTAAGCTAAAGAGTTTCACCTTTACATGGTGAGAAGTGATATACACCTTTGAAAATTTTTGATGAGGGGAGTGAGATTTCTCATTTGTAAAACATGAGTAATGATTGTATCTAAGCCTCATTCGCTGTGGGGCGTGGGCAAGTTATTGCCTTATTCTCAGTCTCCTCACTTGTAAATTAGTAATCACAATACCTATAGCGCTCAGATTGGGTCTTGGTAAGTTCATTGCCCCCCTAGGATTAAATAGAGTGGATATTTTGAACCTTCATCTTACTTCTCAGCAGTTTTGAACACAGTGAGCACCCTTTTACATTTTTTTAAAAATTAAAATTGTATTGTGAAGCATCTCATTTATACAGACAGGAAAAAACCTATATGTACATTTTTGGTCATAATAAAGAATGAATACCTGTGTAACTGCCACCCAGATGTGAGAGAGAGAGCATGGCCAGGGCTTTGGAAGCCCGTGTGCCCCTCTTAGATCACATGATCTCTCCTTCCTTATTCCAGCTCTTGTGGTACTCATCCCCTGCTTTCTGAGTTGCTTAAACATCCAACAATGTGTTATTTAGTTGCCTGCTCTTAAGGTTGATTCATGGAATACTTTGAGTTGTAGGTAATACTTTGTAGTTTTATGAAATCATACAGTATATCATCTTCTGCAACATTTCTTTTGTTCAGCATTGTGAGATTCTTCCACGTTGCTGTGTATACCTTTGGTTTATTTAGTTTCACTGTTGGATAGTATTCCATGGTGTGTCTGTACTACAGTTTACCCTATCTAATATTGATTCTTTTCAACTTTGTTATTTTGAGCAACGCTGCTGTGAATATTTTTTAACTTTTCTCCTGGTGCACATGTGCAAAAAGTTACTGCAAGGTATATATTTAGGAGCGGAATTGCTGGGTCATATGGTATGCATACATTTGACATTAGCAGGTCATGCCAAACACTTTTCTTCCCATGGTGCCCGGTGTACCGCACTCTTCTGGTAGTTCTTTTGCTAGCTCACCTTTCTTTGTCAGCCCTTCAATGTTGAAGTCCCTTAATTCTTGGTGTTAGAGCCTTTCTTTTTTACTCTATACTCTGCCAAGGGGATCTCATTTATTTTCCTAGGTCAGAGCTCTCCTTTGAACTCCACATTTGTATATCCAAGTGCCTACTTAATACCCACTCTTGGTTGTCTTAAAGGCACCTCAGATCTGACCTGTCCAAGTCCAGATGAATGATTTTTTTCCAGATTGATGATTTTTACCATCCCCTAACCCACCCAACCTGGTCTTTTAGTTTTGCATATTTCAGTGAATGGTACCACCCTCCATCCTATTATACAAACCAGAAATTCAGGATCATTCTTGATACCTCTGATTCCCTTCCCATATTCTATCCATCACCGAATTTTTAATACATTTTTAAATTGATTTCAAAGAGGAAGGGAGAGTGTGAGAGAGAGAAACATCAATGATTCTATCTCTCTGGGGGCTTGGGCCCGCAACCTGGGCACGTGCCCTTGACCAGAATCGAATCCAGGACCCTTCAGTCTGCAGGCTGACTCTCTATCCATTGAGCCAAACCAGCTAGGGCCATCACTAAATTTTTTAAAAAAATATTTTTATTGATTTCAGAGAGGAAGGGAGAGAGAGAGAGAAAGAGAGAGAGAGAAAGAGAGAGAGAGAGAAACATCAGAAACATCAATGATGAGAAAGAATCACCCATTGTCCACCTCCCTCATGCCCCACATCGGGGATTGAGCCCGCAATCCGGGCATGTGCCCTGATGGGGAATCAAACTGTGACCCTCTGGTTCATAGACTGATGCTCAACCACTGAGCTACGGCGGCCGGGCCCATCACCAAATTTTATCTAATTTACCTCCTAGATAACATTGTTGGCTTCCTCTATCCTAGCTCAGGTCCCATTACCTCTTGCCTAGAATACTTCACTAGCCTTCAGCTAGTCTCTCTGCATCAGTTTTGGTCATCTTCTGCTTATTTTTCCAACTACAGTCAAAGGAATAAAAACAAAATAAAACAAAAGCACCCCTCATTTCACTATTTCCTTTCAGTGACTTCCCACTGCTCTCAGGATAAAGGCAAGGCATTCAGTTATTTGGCCACTGCTGACCTCAGCAGCCTTATCTGATGCCCACCACCTCAAACTCTGTGCTTCAGAAACATAAGCCTGCTTCTCAAACATTCTGTTCCTTCCACCCTCCCCATGCCCTTTGCCTAGGTGTTCTCTCTGGTATGCTCTCTTCCCCTCTCCTCAAATTTACCTACCATTCACCCATTAGATCCCAGTTTAAACATTCCTTCTGCAGAGAAGCCTTCCCCAGCCTCCAGACCAGGCCAGGTTCTCTCATTGTAGGTACTCATGCCAACCTGGGTTTTTCTTCATGACAGCTGTCATTGCATGCATTTAAACATTTTGGTAAATAATGATTAATTTCAATCTCTGTTAGTAGATTATAAATCTCCTAAAAGGTCTCCATAAATATCAGTTGAATAAATGAATGTTGAATGGTAACTATTATTAGGATCTCTCATGTCTTTATTATTCTTATAGGGTCCTGCTCAGTGTGCCGTGGGCTTTTTGCACTTCTTTCTGAAGGCCTTTCTGAGCATTTTTTTCTGGCAATTCTAGTAGAGTGGGACAGTTGTGGTCATTCATTGTTGATTCATTGCTCATTCAGAACCTCAATCAGAAGCATTTTACCTATATTCTCATTGAATTTTCACAGTTCTATGAGGTAGATACTGTAATGATTTCCTTTCATAGTTGAGGAAACTGAGGCACAGGGAAGGTAGGAAACTTGCCCTCGGTCATCGAATTAGTAAGGAATGGGGCTAGAATTTGAATCTGTCAGCTTCTTCCACAGTCCACACTCTAAACACAATGCTGTGGAGTCCAAGACACACTGATACACTCAGCCGAGGAGGACAGTGTGTGAATACGTGTCCTCAATCTAAGTGCTGTTATAGTCCAGAGAGGAGAGAGGGGAGAAGTTAGTCACTGGGAAGGCCTAATGGAGCATGTGGTTAGACTGGACCTTGACGGATAGAGTGGTGGGGTCAGTGGAGTAAAGTGGGTGGAGGCAATGCAAGCAGGTAAGTCCCCCTCATGTGTGGGAGAGGATGGAATCCATGAAATGAGAGTAGATTTTAGACATAACTGAACTTCTCTCATTTTGGTGCCTCCTAGATTGTTTTGTGCCAGAATAATATCCGTAATCAGGCCCATATGAACAGAGTGGTCACCCACGAGCTCATTCATACATTTGATCATTGTCGTGCTCATGTCGACTGGTTCACCAATGTCAGACATTTGGCCTGCTCAGAGGTGAGTTTTATTGTAAATGATATCTTTTTCTCTCTGCAGAACACTGTGTTTGAACAATTTATTAAAGTATTTTATTTAAACACTAGAGGCCTGGTGCACGAATTCGTGCACCAGAGGGATCCCTGGGCCTGGCCTGAGGGATCAGGCTGAAACCGACTCTCCTACATCCCCCGAGGGGTCCTGAATTGTGAGAGGGCGCAGGCCAGGCCGAGGGACCCCACCAGTGCACGGTTGGGGCTGGGGAAGGATGCGGGAGGTTGGCCAGCTGGGGGGGGACTGCGAGAGGGCTCCAGGGCGTGTCCAGCTCGTCTTGCTTAGTCCCCATCGGCTGGACCCCAGCAGCAAGCTAACCTACCGTTTGGAGCGTCTGTCCCCTGGTGGTCAGTGCACATCATAGTGACTGGTCGACTGGTCAGCTGTCTGCCCCCTGGTGGTCAGTTCATGCCATAGTGAGTGGTTGAACGGCCTTAGCATATCATTAGCATATTATGCTTTGATTGGTTGAACGGCCAACCGGACGACCAAACACTTAGCATATTAGGCTTTTATTATATAGGATACTCCTTTTCTTACTGTGATAGCTCCATGTTAGTCTTGAATTTCTGTTTCTAACTATTGAATACAAATTTTTGAGACATAACAGAAATTTTAAGTATTTTTTTTAGAATTGTATTAAATATAACCTTTTTAATCCTAATAGTAGTTATTAACTTTAATTATAATACACTATTTCTTATGGAATAAACTATATAACAAAAAAATTAAGGGTAGTTAACATTTACTGAGGGCTGTGTGCCAAACACTGTTCTGTTTGTGGATTCTTTTTTTGAAGTGAACATATCCTCAAGATTTTATTGTTACATAATAAAACAAAATACGAAGCTTAGAACTAGATCACTAGGCCCTGTCTCTCCTTATCTCCTCCTAGTTCAAAGTGCTTGCGTCTCTTAATAGCCAGTGTTCTCTTAGATCTTCAGTAGGGCTCAACACCTTCAAGCCTCAGCACAATCTTCTTTAAATAAATTTTAAAAAATGTATTGATTTTATTATTTAAAAATTTTTTTGTTGAAAGTATTATATATGTCCCCCTTTCCCCCCATTGGTCCCCTTTACCCTGTCCCCCTCCTCCCCCCCGCCCCAAGAAA